TGATGCAATCTAAGATGTGAACGCTGAAATTAACATATTAAAGCAAGCTGTCCAGGACTGTGACAAAAGAACTGATAATGGTATGAGCAGCCATGCAGCCATGAAGCAAGCCCAGAGAAGAGGCAATCTGGCAGAGGCAGTGCTCGCTATCACTGTTTCAGATGTGGCAGGAAAAAACACTACCAGTGGAGATGAGGTATAGGAAAAGCAGAGATAAAGCTGATACTGTGTCTGATTTACCAGGAGCAGCCTGCAGTTGCTGCTCCTGAGGGAATTCTGAGCCAAAAACATTTAAAATTCTCCACACAATATTTTAAAATTCTGCAAATTTTATTTGTCAATAAATAAATGTGGAGACTCCAGCATGGCAGTGGGGAGCACAGGCCACTGGCTGCATGGAAGAGGGTAATCACCCTGCAGCCCTCCCCAGGACATGGACTCTGCAGTGAGGCTGCTCCCAACCCTGACACAGCGCAAGGGCTGGGCCTGTCCCAGAAATACACCTCGGGCCCTTTTTCTCCACGCCAGGTGCACCAGGTGTGGGCAGGCAGGCTCAGCCCGGAAGGATCCAAGTGTGGAGGGGCTTAGTGTGGGGGGATCCAGGCGTAGGATGAGAGGGTTCTGTGTGGTGCAATCTGGGTGTGGGCAGCTGAGTGAGGTGTCTGGGTGTGGGGTAGGGTGACCAGACAGCAAATTTGAAAAATCGGGATGGGGGTGGGGGGTAATAGGAGCCTATATAAGAAAAAGACCCAAAAATTGGGACTGTCCCTATAAAATCGGGACATCTGGTCACCCTAGTGTGGGGTGGGATCTGGATGCACAGGGCTTGGTTCGGGGGTTCGGGGTGCAGGGGCAATGGGATTCTGAAAGTGGTCTAGGCGAAAGTGGTTGCGGCTCAGCGGTGCAGTCTGGGTGTGGGGGACTCAGCAGGGGGGATCCAGGAGAACTTGGTGGGCTGGGGGTCCGGGTACAGATGGTTGGGGCTCAGTGGGGAGAGGTTCTGGGTGCAGAGGCTCACCAGGGTGGTTCAGGTGCAGGGGAGGTGGGGGGCCGTTGGGGTGGTGAGGAGTTCTGTGACACTGCCACAGCCCCAGGGCCAGAGGATTTCTCTGCCAACGCCATGGCCCCAGGGCTGGAGGAGCTGTGCCCTCCCTCTCTTTTGCAATAACGAACACCTGGCTATAATAGCCAAATGGCTTGGAACCTGGAGGTTCATTGTAGTGCGGGTGTACTGTATTTCCTCAGAACATCATGTGTTTAACATGTCCCTCCAAAAGCGATCAAATTTAAATTCCTGAGCACGACCCTGGTGGGTGGAAAATAATATATCTCAGGGACACACCTTAGAAAGCTTGAAGAGTTATTGTAGAAGTTGGGCTTGATTTTAACACTGCCATTGGAACTGAAATCCCTTCCAAGGGATGGATTGAAGTCTAGTTCCAATTAAGCAAAGATGATCACATCTTGATGGTTCCTGTGCTGGCCAAATTAGAGATCATTGGCTACGGAGTTATTGAGGAGATAGTCAAACACCGCTGCTGCAATTTACCTGAAGAGGCCCCTAGCCTCATTAACAATATGAAATGTGTTCTTTCCTCATGTTGGCAGTTTGATAACTGAAGTTTAATTAAATGCAGTATAAAAACACACACAAATGCAGCTTGCTCATGTCCCATTGCTGCTCCATCCTTTTAGAGCAGGCATACACAACACGTCCCTGCCTCCACAATCAGAGAATCCCCTTTGATTATCCCTCAACAGACCTTCACTTCTTAAAGGGCAAAGGCAAATCGAATCCTGACATTCGCTTATGTGTGCTACACTCCCCCCCCCCCCCCCATATGTTAGGAGCATGTACTGGGCCTTTAAGAGCAGAGCACATGTTAGCGGGAACTGGATTGGGGCTAGTGAGAACTGGCTGGAGGCACTCCATAGTCAGCTTCACCAACTACACAGCTAGGAGCACATGGCTTCCCTTTGTTTTATGTAGTTCTGTTTTAGTTCTAATAAAGCTTTACTTCTATATCCAGACTGTGCCTCCTTCTTACGAAACCACAAGACAACACATTGTAAATGTAATGTCGTCCCAACATTTATATTAAAAAAATCTAACATACAGTCCATCCATTTGACTTATTAGTAGTCATCCACGAGTTCCACAAGTGCATGGTGCTGCTCTCTTACCAAGTGGCAGAGTACTTGTCAGGAACCTTTCAGAGAAAGGAGGGAAAGGCAAATTAAGATCCTAGTGGGAAGATAAGATTCATGTAATACTTGAAAGAAAAGGGGATAGCTTAGTCTATGAAGTAAAAGCAGAAGATGAAAAAGGATGTGTTGGAGTTCTTCACTGCAATTTTTTACTTTCCTGTGACTTCTTAGTCAGGGATATTACTCCATCCTCTAACCCACCACAGCACAAGACACAGAAAACAAGGCAAGCTAGTGCAATAAGAGATAACATAAGGACAGGAGTTTGGATTCCAATGATTCTTATAGTGAGAGTGAAGATGAACCACGTTACGTCATGGTACCAGATACTGCCCATAGCACAGACACTCAATTCAGAGGTAGAGGCCTGGGAACTGAGGATGTAGTTGATTCTGTAAACTTGAAAGCAGCTGATCGGAGCGATAGGACATTCACACCTGCAGTAGAGAAACATGAATGCCAAAACAAGACCATGGAACCTGAAACAAGTAGTGCACAAGAGGACAGATCACCAGAACAATCCACTAACATGTGAAGTCACCTGACCAGCGAGAGACAAGACCCACAGACACTGACATATGAATGATTAGGAACACCTACTTATAAGTGTCTAAATCCAACTTTTGGACTAGTGAATGTATCATGGAGTTATCCATGTGTTTGTCACATGCCATACCAAGTGCCTATTCCTGGACCTAATCTTACATTTCTATTCAAGGCTGATGTAATATTGGGAAATGAAATATTTGATAGCTCTGCATAGTTTATAATTATGTTAACTTAGTACTGTGATGCTGTATGATTGAAACATGACAATTTATATAATGAATATTGCCATTGTTAGACAATTGCAACAAATGGTGTATAAAGTATATCATGTATGGTGTTAATGAAAATGTTATGATTTGCTAAGTATGATTATCCTGTTTATATCCATGTATCATCACAGTATCTGAAGTTAGGAATATTGGCTATATAGATCTATATCCCAAATGTGTTTGCTCCTGGGATAACATCCCCAAGGTAATTTACATCCAATCTGGCCAGCACATTGTGAATGAACTATTCAAGTTGATGGCCCATTAAAGAACACCTAACACTCACAATGGCCCATAGAAGAAGCTCCTCCTGACCCAGTGAGCCTTCCTGTGGACACCTTAGCCAGAATATGGGTAAAGGCTGCTCCTGTGAGTCTTCAAAGCATGTAAGGGTCATGTGACTCTGGATTCCATCTTGGGCCTATAATAACAAGGAAGCTCTAATCAAGGACTGATGACCCCAAGCTGTTTGGGTAAGTTCCAGAGAGAAATTTGCAAACTAGCTGTTTATTCTATCACTGCTTCAAACCTGATATAAGAACTTTTCAATCTCTTGTATGTACATGATTTATTTAACCATTTTAACTCTCTTCTATTTATTTTCTCTTATAAATAAACCTTTAAATTTCAGTTACTAACGGATTGGCAGCAGTGTGATTATTGGCTAAGATCTGAGTTATATATTTACCTGGCTAAGTGGCTGGTCTCTTGAGATCAGAAGAAACCTTGGTTTGATTAAATTGGTTTTCAATAGCCACTCATCACAAAGTCTAGTGTCAGGGTGGTGAAATAAGGACTGACTTCATGTTAACCAATGTGGTCAGACAGAATTTTACTTTCATTACTGGCTTGGTAGAATAACCGCCAGTTTGGGGTGAGTCTGCCCCATTTCTCAGCAGCTTGTACTGAATCTGGCATCCTTAGCTCTGACCCACTGAGGCTCAGTGAGAGGTATGTTTTCTAACTAGCTTGCCATATGCCCAGTAACTCGGCATGACATGGTTATAGCACTGATCGTATAGGAACTGTTATTCCATAAGATATGACTATCTTTGGGAATTTGAGGTGTTCAGAACTGACTGTTCAGTTGGATAATGGAACTAAAATTGCCACAGAAGCTTTCTGCTGAATGTGAAATAAACTAAATTTACTTGCAGAAGGTTTCACTGTCAGTACCAGAGCTTGTTACAGAGGAAGATACTCAAAGACTAACTTGAGAATGACTGTTACAAGCCTGTGGAACTTGGATGACTGCTAATAAGTCAAATGGATGGACTGTATGATATATTTTGTTAATAGAAATGTTGGGATGACATTACATTTATGAGTGGGGAGTGTAGCACTCAGAAGTCAATGTCAGGCTTATGTTCTCCTGTGCCCTATCCCTTTAAGGACTGAAAGTCTGCTCAGGGGGTCAAAAGGGATGCTCTGGTTGCAGACACAGAGATGGGTGTGCTCTAAAAGGACTGAGCAGTAATGGGGCTTGTGCAAGGTGTATTTCTTTGGTTTTTTATACTAAAGTTAATAAAACTTCAGTTTTAACTGTCCCTGGTCTGGGAGTGAAACAATGGCATAATAATTGTTATCATTAGGCTTCTGAGTTAGCACCCAAATGAAAGGAATGGGTAAGTAGGCTCGTCACAGAGCTATTACTACAGGCTGGCTACAGACTCAGGCAGACATCACTCCATTGGTTTCATTCAGGTCATGTTAGGGCAAGTGGTCTTCACAAAGGCTAGAGATTTAACATTTTTTAGAAAATGAAAGCTGAACTTCTAGAGCACAATTCTGCAGCAAGGTCTGTATTGCATAGCAGTTGCATAGACAGGAATTCCCAGAGCACATGGGGCCCTGTTGACAGAGAGAGGGACAGAAAGGGAGCAGACCATATCAGATCCAGAGAGGTCACAGAACTCAGAGTGTGCCAGAGAAGAAGAGTCTGGTGGCAGTCAAGGCCTGCAGATGGAGCCCTACCAAAGTAGATGAGGTTGTGGCTGCTGGGTCTGAAGACGTAGCCGGTGGCCCGTGGGTTGTTGACATCAGCCCCCTTCTCAAGCATCGCCTTCACAAGTTTGAAGTTCTTATTCACCACAGCGATGTGGAGAGCAGTCTCCCCTGCAACACATAATCACACCCCTTTTGTAATGCCAACATTGCACCACAGGGACCAGAGGCACTTCAGAGATCCAATGTGCAACCAAGGGCACCTTATTAGTAAATAACTGAGAAACCCAATGGGCAAAGTCTGGGGTGTTCAAAGGACCCTAAGGAAGTCACCTGCCCAGCTCCCATAGAATTCCAGTTGCATGTGAGTGATTAATGTCCCTGGAAAATTGCAGCCCAAACTCTTATCTCTGTTACACTGACTGTCCCAGTGACTTCAATGGATTCACCCCAGCATAAAGGAGAGCAGAATTTTGCCCAGTGTTTTCACCAATACAGCCTTTGTTGTGTCTTAGCCCTAAGATAGGAGTTGAAACTGTGAAATTAATTGCTGTTAAATGAATTACATTTGCAACTTCTCTCTCACCACTTTTCAGTGAAGTGCTTTAGTGCCTCGTTAATTCCACTTATGCTCCTGCTCATATTTTACACTTCTGTAACACTTTGCAGCTGAGGATCTCAGAGCACTTCACAAATGTTCATCAATTAAACCTCACGTTAGCCCGTGTGCAAGAGCCTGGAATCACTAGCCTGAAACTAAATGCAGCAAAATTAAGTGACTTGCTCAATAACAGGATGGTGGCTAGAATTCAAGTCTCCTGACTCCCCATCCCTACTCGAGCCACTATATCATATTCTCTCCTCCCTTGCAGCTGGTTCTGGAGTAAAAGGAGGCAACTCTTTAACAATGCACAGTGACAATACAGTTCTCAGTAGACCCTACAGAAAAAAATCCATATCCTAGTGAAAATGCAGAGGGAATTAATGAAGGTAGAATGTAATTTACAAACCCAGGAATTAATAACCCCACTCTGGAGGGCCTAGGTTTTATGTCTCATCTGGAAGATGGCCGCTCCAGCAGCACTGCATCCTCCTAACAACATGTGAGGTATTTGGGCCAGTACTGACTAATAGAGGAGACCAACCTCTAGTGAATCAATCACACCACTCCCTGGAGCCTATCTCCCTCTAGTACCACACTGGGACACTAGATTCAGTAATAACTTAGATGGAAAAGCATCGCCTACTGAATCAATACTACTTCCTCCAGCACTTAGATCTTTCCTTGGAGGTTTTCCACTCAAAACTTGACCCTGATTAGCTAGGAGTCCAGATATAATGATTGGATCTCAGCTTTTGGGGTGATAGTTGGGAATAGGATATCCTCCAAGGATAAAATGATCCTCTAAATGCACCCTCTTTTAAAGGACTATGGCATAGGTTTCATTTCCTGGAGATCTGTTGGGAACACAACAGCACCTATGGGTTGTTGAAAATGCAGTTAAGTGACAGTAAAATATGACTCCCTGAAACAGACCATTTTATAAAGGGCACCTAGAAATCTGGACACAAAGCTAACAGAATCTCAGCTACTATGCCATATCTCCCAGCCATTCCGGCAGTCTCAGCCCATGTTTATTCATCTTGGCATTCTTACCTGCATAGAATTCTGATGTCATTGCTTCATTGACAAGTTCTGGAGCTGCATCCATCAGAATCTGTGCAGCCTCCATACTATCATACAAGGCAGCCACATGAAGAGCTGTCTCCCCCAGGGCACCTGGAGAGAGAGAGTCATATATATGTGTCATAAGTTCCTTTGCCAGCCTGGTGAGATGAATCTTACCAAGAGTAACACACTCAATCCAGAGGACTCCCTACCCTCACACAAAGAGCGTTTTCACCCCAACCTGCCAAGATCATCCTTTTCTACTGCTTGAGAAGTATTTCCATCCTTCAGACTCAAAGTCCCAAGGCGTCCTCTCCTTGCAGCTATCCTAGTCATGGACAGCATATGGAGTACCCTACCTCTTTGATGAATATCACAAGTATGGCAGGTGAGAAGTCTCTGGATGGTTTGGACATCATTTTCCTTGGCGGCCTGGAGCAAGGGAGACTCCCAGATCCTGCAACAAGAAAAATCACCAGATTAGAGCCTTATAATAAATAAGATACCCAGAGTAAACACTTTCTTCCATGTCAGCAAAGCAGTCAAAAAACAGGGATGCAATATTTTATTACCAAGATGATAGACAGCTTAGAAATGTCTAAGAAAGCTAGACAGGCACACGCATGAGTAATCCACTTTCTATAAGGTCAATTTCTGCATAACCAAGGGAACTGTAGTCCATTTTTAAAAAGCCTTTGTAGTCCTGATAAAAATGTCACGTAGGAAACAGAATTCTGGCTCCACTGGTAATTTATGATTCCAGGTTATTTCTACAATATTTATAAATCTTGAGTAGAAATTGCTAATAGTAGGATATTGCAAAGTAACAAGTCAAATTCCCACTAATTTCCCAATGCCAGGCCACAGCATTGTCATATCTGAACATGAGTGAAACATTTCAATACATTCTTCGTATGATTGTAAAATGCTGTATTTCCATTTCAGATTCACCAGCAGATTTCATGATTATAGACCAGTATACATTGGATTAGTGATTCTTGTTAAAGCAGAGAGTTAGCTAACATTCTCATCTTTCTCTGGCACATAGAAGTACACAATCAGTGGGCACTACATAATGCTTTGGGCCTAATTCTCATTTCACACACTGGTTTTACGCAGGTGTGCCTCCACTGATTTCAATGTGGCTACTCTGGATTTACACACTTATAAATGAAAGCTGAAGAAGGCCCTTTGAATCTGGGTGAGAGTAGAATTCAAGCTGGAATAGTGAAAGAACCATAGCGGACAGTTCAGGTGTCTAGGCAAACCGAAAAGCAAGTGGAATCTCTGTTGTTTTAAGCAGGAATGCTAAAGCAGTTCTGTAATACTGAGCAGATACCCCCTCAACATCACTGACAAGGACTTTGGAACAATCAAAGAAGAAATACACAAGGGATCTACCAAGGAGCACTGCCAGCTTTTCTGCCGCCCTAGGCGGCGGAAGGTCCCGCTGCCGAAATACCGCCGTGGTCGCCACCCCCCAAATTGTAGCACCCTAGGTGACCGCCTAGGTCGCCTAATGGGTTGTGCCGGCCCTGGATCTACCCAGTTTTCACACTGAGCCCACTGAATGCCAGAACAAGACTTTGGAAGTTTCTTCAGTGCTGTGTGAATGCTAGTTTTTTCCCCTCACTAGACTGTCTCAGTGTTTTGATGAAAAGGAGCTCCAACTAACAGGAGACAGGTTCAACAGCAGAGGATGCAACACTGCACAGGAGGGTACTGTGGGCATGAGCTATATCATGTTAGTGGCTATGGTGAGAAAAATGTGAATAAAATAAAACAAAATAGACAAGCACCTAGAAAACAGATTATATTGAACAAACCTGCACTGGGCAGAGTGGAGTGGCCTAGCCCAATAGATTTTTTTGCATATTGAATTTCTATTCTCAGTGGAACAGCACCTTCTAACTCCACATATCTGCTTCCTGGAGGACTTGATCTCTCAGTGCAGGATACAAGTAACTCCCGCTGACAGCAAACAAAGACCGAATACTAATATTTTGTATTTATATAGTGCCTTACATCCAAGGGCTCTAAAGAGCTTTATGAATATTAATGAATCAAGCCTCAGAACACTTGTGGGAGAGAGGGAAATATTTCCCCCATTTCATAGATTAGGCAACCAAAGCACAGAGAATGGAGGCAATTTATTTAAGGTCACAGAGCAAGTCAGTGGAAGAACCAAGAATAGAACCCAGGAAATTTTGACCACCAAACCCCTGCTCTAACCACTAGACTACACACTCTGAGCATGTCCTATTCTAAAGAGGGTCCCAATTAAGTGCCCAAATCCTACATGTGGTGCTAACAGATCAGGTACCAGCTCATGCCAAAGCCTCAGGCCAATTCACTTGTGTGTTAGTATAGATTAAAGTGATTGTTAAATGTATAAGAGTATATTTGGTGTTGAAATTTTATGAAAACTAATGGGATGGTACATGCATTGTTTTCACTTACCTGTATCCTGTTATAATGTAATAGCAAACATTTACATTGTGTATACTCCTGTAACTAACCCATCAAATGTGAAAGAAGCCTTGTGGAATGCAAATGAAGAACGTTAACAGAAAAGTGATCAAAGCAAGTGATCTTTGTGTGTAATGATCAGAGGTCAAAGACTCTAAATGCATTCCTCACTCTCCATCATCAAAGGAAGAGCCCACTTAGGTAGTGAACCTAGCAGCTTGTTTTCTGTGAGAAGAAGCTATAAGTATGGATTCAAAGAAAGATCCTTCATCTCTGCACTGTTTGGATTCTAACAGGCCAGAATAACTGAACGAGAAGATGGAGATCCCCAGAGTTATTCTAGGTAGCCCTGAGAGACTTTTGGGAAACTGGCAGATGACTACATCTCTGCTACCATTTGGAATTACAGACTGTGACTCACCTGTGCATATTTTTTACCTGCTTTAACCTCTCAATAACTCTCGTTTCCTTTTTTTAGCTAATAAACCTTTAGTTAGTTTAGTATAAAATTGGCTGCCAATGTTGTCTTTGGTGTAAGATCTTGGGTAAGTGACTGGTTTCTTGGGACTGGGAGCTATCTGAATGTCGTGTGATTTCTGGTGTAAGTGACCATTTTTCACATAGTCCAGCTTGCCTGGGTGGCAAGATAGACTGGAGAGTATAAGGGGACTGTCTGTGACTCCATGGTAAGACTGGGATAGTGGTCCAGGATTTCACATTTGTTACTGGCTTGGTGAGATCTAATTATAGCACACACCATCGGTTTAGGGTGTCTGCCTTGTTCTCTGACCATCTGCCCTGAGGTAGGCACTCCTAGTGGTGAGCCAGTCAGGCAGCAGGACACTGCATTTCCCCCAACCTTTTATGAGCTGCCACGAGAGCTTCAAATTAATACAATTTTCAAAGAAAAAATGGTGTGTCCATTGGCATAAGCTACAAGGTCAAGTGGCACAGTGTGACACTTTTGAGGTTACCCGTGGGTACAGGTGAATTGCTATTGCCTGCTTATGGGTCGAGGGAGCCTTGTTTGCCCCACTCTTTCCTTCTGCAGGCTAGCAATTTGCATTCCCCAGCCCTTAGGCTTCCTGAGTGAGTCCTTGAGGCAGAGCAGAGAGAACCTGTTGCTAAGTTTCTGGAGGTAGTTAGCTCCCAGAGTTCTGCTTTGGCCCCGGGGCATGTATCCTGCTAACCTTTCCGTACACCCCACTGCATTACACTCAAGTGCCCAGTCCCTTGGCCTCTGGATACTCTTGGTGCACACAGATTCACTGCCCCCCCATGGAAGCAGTGTCCACCAGCTCACTACTTTGACCTCAGTTACAACACTGTCCTTAGCACACAGCACTTACTGGTATCTCTAGTAAAAACAAAGAGAAGTTAAAGTTTATTTAACAAAGCTTAAGGTAAAGATTCAAATAGAAGCAAGTATAAGGATTGGAAATATATAACTACAGATAAAAGAAAAATATAAAACATAATCTAGAGACTATATTTATTAACAAGTTCCTTTCCTGTCTAACATGGTATTTCTCACCAACGGTCAGTCTATATAGCACTTCAAGTATCAGGTCTAGAGTGCTGGGATCCACTTTTCATTAGACGCTGACAGAGTATTGCCTCCCTAATGGATACCACCATGGGCCCTTCTTTCTCCTATTAGACAGTTCCAGACCTTTTGTCTCTTTTCATGACCAGGGCGTTTTGTTAACTTCAGTTTGCCCTGATGCTAACCCCTAGTCAAGACCTTTTTCTTGGGCTTTTTGTGCTCCGTAAAGGCTCAAGTCTGCACCTTGTCAGAGTGTAAACACTTGGCTGGGTTGGGTCGATAGATTGTCAGCTGTTCCCACTCTTGAGTGAGTTAGCCATGAGAACCACCCTACCCCAGATGACCAGTTTCACCTCCAGCAGCTTTGGAACACAAAGTACTTACATAACTCTTAAAATTTTTCCATCCATCCATCCATCCCACAATAACTATGATGACCAGTGAGTTCTTAACTTTCAGCAGAGACCACACACGGCCATAGGTAGCCACAGAAAAAAATTAGTGGATGCTTAGCCAGCTCCCCCCAAAGCCTCCCGTCTGCCTGCTGCCCCACTGATCAGTGCCTCCCGATCCCTCCCAGTGCCTCCCGCCTGCTGCGATCAGCTGGAGCGGGGACTGGGCGTGCTGGGAGGAGGGGCAGAAATGGGAGGGAAGAGGTGGGATAGGATGGGGGCTTGGGAACCCCCCAGGTCTGGAGGAAGCCGGCGCCTATGCACACAGCTTTCTTTGGTGAAATATCATGCTGATCACAGGCGAAACATGTCTGTCTGGGCATGTCTAGGCAAATCCTTGAGTATAGACTTGTAACTGTGTACCCCCATCCATTGCCAATGTGGGGCACTTGGGTCACATACATGCCATAGCACAGGGACTTACCCAGCCAGCTTAGTCTGCCAAAGTCAGACAGCAGTTTGCAGTCTGATAATGTGATAGCCCAAGCAAATATACTGATTAGATGCACTCCCATGTTTCCTAAAAAGATGATGTAAACCACCTCTAGCAGCACGTAATGCAGCATGGTGTACTAAGTCATGCCCAGGCCTACAGCAGTGGGTCAAGAGTGAGGTCACTGGCAGAGCTGCGGTGCAGAGCAAGACTGAAACAACAGAGGGTGCTGCAATTCAGGACAGAGGTGCTTCGACAGATGTGTGTGGGGTCATGGGACGGGGGGAGGGGGGAAGAAAGGGGGCTGCATCCCTTTCTGGACCTTCCTCAGTATAGCTGTGTGGAGAAACCCGAGCCTGGAGCAGCAGGGGAATGCAGGTCAGAAATGAGGTGCACTGGAGGAAGGGGAAAGCTTGCTCCGCATGTGCCTGCACTATATACCACTCTAGCTAGTGCCATCAGCCACTCAGTTCTGTGAGTAACACAATCTCTTCCATAGTAAAAAAGACAGATAAGATAGTGAGGCTATAACACCCACCAAGTTGCTCTGCAGATGC